GTTTCTTTCGGGTTTTGGAGTAATCAAGTCTTATCAAATGCATTGCAAAGTTCTTTGCAGCTGACGTTAGGATAAATTGTAAAAGGTTATTGTTAAGCGTTATGACAAGTGTGGCAACTCTAAAGTTGACAGCCAGTTAACACCTGTTGGCCAAAATGTCGTGCAGTTAGTTTATAGAATAGTTTTTGTCTATGTTACTACTAAGAGCTCTTGACGCTATAATTTGGGCTCAGTGAACCCGGTCGACATGTCTTAGTTAGTGCCCCTCTCCTTCGGGGCAATTGTGCGTGCGAAAGCATCACGCAACAAGTTAACATGAGGTTGCCACATGAAAATGCTCGGTGGCACATTAGAGCTGGGCATTTGAAAATGAGCAAACTGGTCTATATATAATGTAAGACCCGAGTGCGACTTGGAGTACCACACGGCGCTCGATCAGCTGCACGTTTGGGGCCTGGTGAAAAGAAGCCAAACCAGAAGCAGACATAAAGGGGACGAGCGTCGCGTCGTGCCGTGTCGTGTCTGTTCCTCTGGCCGCCTGTCAGTTACCAAATTGAGTGCAGCGCCATTTTCCACAACATGCTTTAGTTTATAGCTCTTATTTTTTTTTTTCTGTTTTGTTTTGCTTTGTTCTTCAATTGCCTTTTTGGCCACTTTCTAGCAACAGTCTGGCCATGGCAAAGAACTTGAGCTCCATATATAGAGAGCCAGAGGCACAGAACCGGCAACCAAATTGCACCACTTTCAGGGCTGTGCGAGGTTCTGTGCCGTGCTGTGCTTGTGCTGTGCGAGGCAGCCAGCCAAAGAGGGGCATCATTATCATTATCAAGACCATTATTTGCTGCAGTGTACCTTACCTTACTGACACCATAAATGGACGCCAACAACAACTACCACTTTTTCGAGTTACTTTCAGGCTAGTTTTGGCTCGAAGCATTAACACCCATAGCTAGAGTTTGCCTGGAAACACGAGTCGGCCCTTCAGCACTGGCTGCCTTTGTATGGGCTGTGATTAATGCACTTTGACTAGTGTTAGTTGTTGTTGTTTTTGTTGCTGTGCTTGTGGTTATTCACATGGCTGGCATTTTGAGAACACAACAATAAGATTCACTGCCCCAGACGCTGTGTAAGCAGTATTATGTATAAGCCCATGTGCATATATTTAGTTAGTTAGCACTTGCCGTAACTTTTCTCGCTTGATTTTTTTTTCATTTTTATTTTTTTTTTTTGTATATTTATTTTTGTGGGTCTTTGGAGTGACTTCATTTTCTCAGCAGCTGACATGCAACCCGCTTAATTTCTATTATCGTATAACGCCATTGTTTCAAACAATGTGCACTGCACATTTCCACTGCATAATAAACCCAGCAAGCAAACCATATAATACTGTTTGTGTTTGCCCATACATGGCACACTTTGCACTGCATACGCTTTGGGGTTTGCTTTTTGATTACCAAATCCAAAATATGTTAAAAACTTGTAGTGTCACGTATGTCGACGCCAACTACTTGAACTGCGATCAGCTGAAGCTACATAAATTTAGAGCTGGTCAGCGATTGGAGTCCAAGAACTTTGTGCTGTGATTTTAGCTGACCAAGGCAAATGGCAGACACAAAACAACCACTTTTAATTAGTCTAGTCAGTACAAAAAAAAACAAAAGAGTCTTTCAAATAGCGGTCACTCGCTTTCATATGCAACAAAAACAGTGCAGCGGCCCACTGAAAATGTCAAATGGGAATGGAAATGGAAATACCGCCCGCCCAGCAGTCAGTTGCATTGCCAAATGCAAAAAGAAGTTTATTTATATATATGCATAACAAAAGAATAAAGAAAAGTTCAGCACATAAGTCACATCGAAATGCAAATACACTACAACTATATGATATACCAGAATGATATTGATACAATTTAATATCTTTGTATTAAGAGCATATTAAGACCATCATAACCTAATTTTTAACCGATCTTCCTATGGATGCCTTGAAGCCTATGAAGATAGCCTTGATAGCCTCCGTATGGAAACGGCGATTTATACTGATCATGAATTTATATGAGTCACATTATATTTATAAATAAATGGGTTTACATATTCCATGACTCAATTTTAATACCCGCAACGGAGGCATTAAGCTCTTACTCTAAATCCAAGAGTCTAAGATTGTCAAACTATTAAGTTGCAAGAGTTGTGCTTCACAAACATATTGACATAGTTGCACATGCCCCACAGCAAGTGTATAGAAAAGCTGAACAAGAAATAAGTGCCATATTTTGCTTCTGGGCTAAACTCAAAGTTAACTTCATACCTAGTTCTTTGGCCAGCAGTTGCCATAAAGTGCAAAACAAAAGGCTGAAAGAAAAGTGTCTGAAGAGCGCTCATGACTCAGTTGAAGCCCACGAAGCCCACTAATGGCCCCCAGAGAGGTTGCCCCACCGGTTACCAGTTACCAGTTGCCATGGGCAAAACTTGGGTTCTTCTATTCTTGGCAATGCAATATCTGAAATAGCGGCTCTGACAGCCCTCTACAAATATGCATTACGAACGACAACACAGTCTATAGAGAATTCACAGCGGATATTGCACAGCCTTTTGGCGTTTCCTTTATCGTTGGACAAACACAAGTAATATACACACTTGATCGGAGGAGAAAAGCAAAAGTAAATATTGTGCATTAGCGATAACAACACTTTGCACAAAAATCTAACAAATTAAATACAGTTTGTAAATAAGTAAATGCACAACCTTCAATTTGTCACGGTTAATAGAACGGATGAAATTACACACACAAAGTTTTATCGGCAGCTGAAAAAATGTGCAAATACTTTGCTTACATTTATCTTAAGGTGTTTTGCCTGTTATTCAAACTAAAAAGTAATTAAATAATTATATAAAGTTAATTTTATGATAGTTTAAAACATATTTTTATGCTTCTTGGTAATTTTGTTGAGCTATACTGAATTTAATAAAAAGCGTGCAGTGGAAATTCGAAAGGGGAAGGTTACAAATTTTAAGTAAACTAAAGATGATGTTCAAAATTTTAAGATAGGGACTTGCACAGGGCAAGGACATGTAATACCTACTACTGCTCTTTATGTGCATGTTCATATGCACGTAGGCTTGCATGTATATACATGCATATACAAATGTGTAACGATATATGCATGCATGGTATCCTTAGCCAAATGAAGACCAAGTTAACTGTTATATGTATTAAAAAGAATTAATGTATTTATTTTTATGGAATAAGTGTATGAACATACGCATGGCAGTACGCACGCATGTTTATATGTATGGGTGTATGTTTGCATGTACGCATGTGCATATACATGCATGTACACATGTATGCATGTACACATGTATGAATGTATGCATGTATGAATGTATGCATGTATGAATATATGCATGTAAATATTTATGTATGCATGCACTTGTTTGTATATATATTTATATGTATGTGTGTATGTATGTATGCATGTACGTATGTTTGTGTGTGCGTGTATGTATGTCGGTATGCTTGCACACTCGTATATATGTACACTATCTCATAAAAATCGCAGCAAACTAAACTGACCGCTGAGCTGTTATTTAAATAAAACGTATTTTTACATAGTGCTCTACTCTGCGATTCTCATGAATTCTAGTAAGTCCTGAGGGTTTTATGCTTTGGTTAAGTGTTCTTTTGAAGTGATAATTAAATTGTGAAGTTGTGACTATGTATGTGTGTTTGAATGCATGTATGCATGTATGTATGTATGCATGATTAAATGTTGGTAGATGTGAATGTATGTATTACTTATGTATGCAGCTATGTATGCATCTTCGCATGTATGAAAGTATGTGTGTGTATATATACATGTATGTATGTATATATGTATGTAGTAATGCATATATGTATTTATAGATTGTCTTTGTGTTTTTATGCATATGCGTTCACACAAACGACTTGATGCTTTGAATATGTTAAGGTTCCCTTATAAACTATTATATTCTATCTGATACTGACTCTTTTTTTTCAGAAATATGTATTAATGCATTGAGGACTGTCTCCTTTCTACTAATTATTATTATTGGGTAAGTGCATACATAAATATGTTCATTTTATTAAGAATATGCAACATTTAAACAAGTCAGACCTGTATTATTTAAATTTAAATACAATGAATTCTATAAGCGAACATTAAGGACACATTTAAGTAGGCTTCGAGTGCATTACAAATCCGATTCAAATTTCTGATAACAAAAACAAGTATTTCTGGAAGGTCTAAAATACGACCGATCTCTTTTTTTTGCTAAACATGTATACTTGTACAGTTTGCACATGATGAATTATGTTTTTTTTTTTTTTTTTTTTTTTTTTTGATAATTTAAACAACAATTAATTGAGATTTCTCAGTTTCTAAAATCTTAAGTTTGACTATATAAATCCCATTTATTGTGAAGGCGCATGCATTTTTATGACACATAACCTTAAAGCTTTTATTTGTGCGTTTTACTTTGTAACACACACACACACACATTTAAACCATGTCCAAGTCTTGTGCACGTTCTTTTTTTTTCGTGGTAAGCAACTAATTAATGTTTATTGACCCGCGGGCGCATAGCGGAAGTGGAAAATGCACTGCAACAGCATTGAACTTGGCTAGTCTGTGCGGCCAATTGCTAAGTTGGACCTGCCAGCGGCTTATCAAGGTGGCCAGCTTTTCGCAAAACTTAAAATACAGTAACAACAACAACAACAACAAGAGTAACAGCAGCAGCAGCAGCAACAACAACAACAATGGATGACCGCCAGAACAAACGAAACTCGAAGAACGACAGAGGCATAGAAAGGAGAGGAAATACTCGTACTATGATGTTGTTGTTGCTGCTGTCTGCGTGCATTTGTATGCAAACGAAAAATAAAGAACAGGAACACACACAAAAAAAAAATAAATAAAATAAAAGAAGCGTGTGCATAAAAAATGCAAAGGCAACAAAAAACTTGTCGAACTGGTCGCTTACTTTGGAGTTGTGTGTCGGGAGACCGCGATCAGGCAACGCCTGCGCCGCCTGCTATAGGGCAACGGGCAAACGTAAAGGATCGCGAGTGTAGGCCAAGCTGTAGGGCACTCTAGAACCAGTCACAGTCGGCCAATAAGTATATGCACCGCGTTTGCTGCCAATTTATGTGCGATAGTTGCGGCTCTTTCAATTATCATTTGCATATCACAAAACGCACACACACACGCAAACGCAACGAGCGTAGACCGAAGAGTTGTCTAAACCAAATAGCGAACTGTTAAAAAACCCGCTGAGAAACGAAGCGCTGACAAAGCAACCGCACGGAACGAGGCGCGCAAATTGACTGATGCGAAAAAGCTGGTCTCACAACAAGCGTCAACTGTTTTGTGGCGCTCTCTCCCAGAGATCTCTCTTCATCTGGCTCTCCACCTCTCTCCTGCTCTTTCACTCTCTCGCACAGCTTTGAAGAGTCAGCTGTTTAATTATGTGCGCGTATATTTTTGACTTAAAAAAAACACATCGCTTTAAATACTATTGCACTTAAAAGTAAAACTTCCGAGCAGCGCGCGCTCAGTGGGAGCGCGCAATGTCGGAGAAGAAGGCGAGTATGTCCTGTATGTTGAACTCCAGATTGATCATGGCGCCCGCATAGCATTTCTGTATGCGCTCCTCGAGATAATTGTACTGGGCTATGAACTCCTCCTGCATGGCATGCCAGACCACCTGCAGCAGATTCTCCTCCTCGCACAGATGCTTGTCCACCTTTTTGTAGAGGTTTTCTAGGCCCTTTTTCACCTCGCGCGCCGGATACTGGCTGATCACCTTGCGCAACTCCTGCTTGGAGAAAGCCATTTGGTAGCTTATTTCGGTCTCCTTGACGCCCTGCGCCACTTTTTGCTGCACGCCTTCAAAGAATTGCTAGAATGGACATAGAAGCAGTTAGTAGGAACACTATTGAAGTATCCACTGCGACAACCACTTACGTTTAGCTTCTCCAGCGGCCTGCCGAAGTACTGCGTCACATATGCCTTGAGTGCATCGTTGTAGCGTAGTTTGGCCTCCTTCTTGAGCGCATCCAGGCCGGGCACCTTGAGCTGCGCCAGCAGAGCGTACATATGATGGTAGTTTTCCATGCGCACCACCTGCGATGGCGTCTTTGGATGCTCCTGCGAGTGTATGCTGATGCCTTCGAATATGGCATTGACCAGCTGCAGGTACCATTTCTCCATATCGGTGCGGCGATCCGACTTGCGGAATATCCCTTCCGCCGTCTGTGCAAAGTTCTCAAAGTTCTCCACATACGGCAAAATGGCTTTTGAACGCTTGGGAAGCTTAGCCTCCTTTATGGACTGCAGCTGCTGCTGCATGAAGCGATCAAAGTTGCGCTTGACCTGCACCAAGGCCGAGGCAAAGGTCATGCTGAGAAAGGAATGTGTGTCCTGGGCGGACATAACATGCTGCGTCAGACGCACCAGCACATAGAGAGAATAGCTAGGAAAAGAGGGTCGATTAGTTGTATGCAGGCAATATATATATAATATTTGTGGCTTACAAGCTATCCACACGCTCGAAGCTCTGAATGAAGCTAACCAGCTCGGGCTCCAGACAGCCAAAGAGTCCCATCATTAGCTTGCGCACATCCTCATTGATTTGGCGATCAATGCGCTTTTGTGGGACTCCGCCAGCGTCTGTGCTCGCGCTGGTGGGTGAGGCAGTTGAGGCGTTAAACGACTGCGACATTTCCATGCCCTTGTCCTTCTCCATGTCCAGCGTCGTTTGTGTATTCTTCGTTGTGGGACTTATCACATCCATTTGAAAGAAGTTGATGCAGAACAACTGTTCCTGCAAGGCAATCGGTTCCAGCTCGGCTAGCACCTTCTCCAGCAGCGCATCGAAACGCACACGATCGGCACTATCCACACCGGGTCCCCATTGATCGCGATTAATGCCCAGCGTGCCATAGGGAATTGTAGAGACGGCAGACTTTCGCGACGAGGTGGACATGTCCAGATCTTCACGCGAGTTTCGCAGCTTGTCGGACACCTGCATCTTGGCCTGAAACGTGAAGATATTTTAAGATCATGTTTTTCGGGATTGAGGTTGAATAGCTACCAGGTTAAAGAAGTTCCTGACATCGCGATCATAGATCTTGCTCAGCGATGCCGTGTAAACACGCATCAGGCCGTCGTAGGTCTTACGATCCATAGCCTTTGACCAGTGCATCAGCTCCGTGTACGGCGTTAGCTCGCGGTGCACGTTGGAGTGATTGGGCAGCGTCAGTTCGGTGCTGGTGACCGGCATGTCGCCAATTTCGTTGCCCAGATGTATGAAGAGGTTGTTCATAAAGCGGCTGACAGTGGCCGAAAACTTTTGTTTCCACTTTTCGAAACGCTTGCGCTGATCCTGCACGGCTTCCAGGCGTAGCAGCGCAGGATCAATGTCGCTGTTCATGGCCTGCTGCAGACACTGCGCTGCCGCAATGGCTGCCTTGCGTCCGGCTGCGGTTTTCAAATCGGGCTCATCTAACGCCTGCTGTTGGCTGTGCGGCAAGTCCAGTTGGCTCTGAAAAGCAACAGGAATTCAGTTTAACACGTAACCTGGGTATATACTTTTCGCACATACAATAACTTTGTTGAGCTCTTTCATTAATTTGATATTGTTGTTGTTGGCAATTTCGATCATGGCATTCTTGCCGCCTATTTTCTCCATGGTCTCCTTGACATGGCCCAGTATGTCCTCATAGGAATCCAGGCGCGTTTCAAACTTATCCGCCTCGGTTATAGCATTGTCTATGTGCTCCATCATTTTGAGCACCTTTTGCTCCGAGGCCAGCACACTTTGCATATTGGCCTGCAGATAAATAAAAAATAAGGATTAGCCTCGATTGGAGGTGGGTTGCTTGCTAGAGCTAGACTTACGCCATCCAAATCATGCAGCTCTTTGGACAGTTGTTCAATGAATTGCTCCGCATCCTTAATGGCAAAATCGCACTCCGAGAACAGTTTGCCGAGCTCGTTGGCCTCCTTATCGGTAAGCGCAGTAAACTCTTGCGCCTCCTCCTCGTCCTCCTCATCATCCGTATTTGCTGGCTTTTGAGTGGCATTTGCGGCTCCCGCACGTCCCGCAGCTATCTTCTCTGGCGACTTCTCAGACAGCCAAGCGCTGGGCACATTGCGGAACTCTGCTCGCGGTCCACGCACAAACTTCTGTATCTGCCTGTTGAGCACAGCGAGAAAGTTCTGCCGCTCGTGCAAATTGAGAGCGTACCACTTGTATAGCTTTTCCAATTGGATGTCGAACTCGTGCGTTTCGAACTGCTCGTTGCGGCCATCGATCCACTTAATCTCGTCCAGCTGCCAGCTGCGCTTGCGTTTGTACTCACTGTCCCGCTGCTCGTACTGCTTGACCAGGCAGAGCGTGACCACCGGCACTGGGGGCGCTGTCGTCAGCACACAAAGGTAGCAGGCCCGCTTGTCTTTCTTTTTAAATGTCTTCGTCACCGTCACCACGGAGAGCAGGCGTTCGCCGCTGCCGTTGAAGAGCTCCTTTTGCAGTATGTGCTTGATGTTGGCCAAGGTGCCAATGGTTAGCATGGCTACGGAATGTTGGCAGCGGCTCGTTTGCAATTATTTATTACAGTAATATAATTGTTTCCAAATTGAAGAACGCCTCCGCCAAAAACAGCTGTTCAATGAGCCACCACCGCTAATGCGGCTAACTTCACGCGAGCTAATAATTGCGTGTAGCCAACTTAGCGCGGCTTCACTATTGCTCAGTATTTTTATGCTATTCGAACACGGTTACACTGGCCGATACATAAGTAGCTATTGGTGAGTAGTTTTTACGCGAAGAAAATATCGAAATTATAAAAACATATTTTGCACATTTTCGGCAACATTTTAGCAATCATGTTGGTTAAACACATCGTCAAGCAGGGTCTGCTGTTCAAAAATGGTGAGTGCAATTACTTGACACTTAGTTTGAGCTACATTTGCTAACCTTAAAACTTACATAATGTGATCAATGCACCGCCCCTGCGTCGTCATGTCCACTTGTATTTATTGACTTCAAATTTGTGATCCCTTTCGGCAGCTGGTGCCATGTCGCGTGCCGCCTACCACGGCGGTGGCGACCACAAGCACTCCACCATGAATGACCTCCCCATACCAGCTGGTGACTGGCAGGAGCAGCAGAGCCGCAACAACACCAAATACAATGCCACCCTCTTGGCTGGTGTTTTGGTGCTGGCTGGCACCATTGGCTTCGTAAGTGGCAACATCATCGCATCCGCATCAGCTCTGGGAATGCTTAATAATAATGCATGGATTTTTATAGGTAAAATCTTCGGGCCTGATACATTTCAACTACAGCGCTCCCAGCAGCTTCGATTAGATTGTGGGCAAACAATCTGTTCACGTACATTGCAAATAATTATGTGTTAAATAAGCGTAAAGTGGAAGAATAGTAAATCACAAACTCAAACACTGTTTAACGGACTGTTTATTTGTTGTTTAATATACGGGACCATCGTCCATGTTGTCATCCTCCTCGTTGTAGGCTTCACCATTGTCAAAGTAATCGTTGGCATAGTCGTTCTCCTCGTCCATTTCATCGTCCAGCGCTGCTTCCGGATCTTCGGGCTCATCGTCATGCTCCGAGTCGCTCTCCTGCTTAATCTCGTCATTTTCGTTCTCCCCGCTGCTTTTCAGTTCCTTCTGCTCCAGCTGTTTCAGTCTGTCCTCAATGTTTGTCTTCTTGGCTAACAGTTTGGGTCTTGGCTCTGCTGCCCGTCGCTTTCGACTCGATGTGTTGAGCTCCCGCGGCATTGCCTTGTAGTTGAACTCGGGTAACGCCTTATGTTTCATGCGCTCCAAAGCTTTCTGCAAGGTTTTAGTTACGGCTAATACCGGAATAATGCCTGAATCTATGGGCACCTACCTCGCGCCAGTCCTTGACACTTGTGTTTAGTTTCTCCTGGCTGGCTGAGATGATATAGTAGGGCGAGTCGCGCATGCGATTCAAAAAGTCTTCCTTCCAGAGCAGCTGATAGTTCTGCGATGCTGTTGTCTGAACGATGATGTATATTAATGAGAATCTAATTTATGAAATCTTTGCTTACCTCTAAGGAAATTGGTTTGTTGAGCAAAGGTGGAAACGTCGGAGGCGGCGCCGATTGGACTTGTGGCATATCTTTGCCCACACAGCCCAGCGCTTGCATCTGCTCAGCGGTGAGCGAGCCTGTTTTGCCACCACGCCCACGTCCAGCCATTCTTTATGTTTCGCTGTTTATTTTCAATTATAATGATTGTTTATGTTTTAAACCTCGCACACGTTTATTTTGCTAACTGAGCGCCAGCTGGTTTACCAGGGCTGCAGCGTTTGCGTTTGGCGTTGCCAGTTTGTTCAAAAATAACAAGCAAAAACATTTTGAACTACATTTAATTATTGAAATTTGCACTTTCTGCTTAAAACTAAAAAAACTTAATATATATATTTCTAAACATGCACACGCTAATATCAATGTAAATATATCTATCTAAACAAGCTTTGTTCTGTGCAAAGATTCGTAAAAATTCGCTATATTCAATTATTATCTGGAGCTGGCTCGTCATCAGTTGGCGCCAGGCCCACCTTTTGCATCAATTCCGTCAGCTTCTGCGCCTTGCGATCCTCATTGTGAGCTATAACCGTGCACAGATGTTCCGTAAGCAGCTCCTTCTTCTCGGACGCATTGTGCAGATCCATTTTTGCCTTCAGAAATTGAGCCTCAATTCTTATATACTGTTTTCTGCCAAAAAGCAGCACATTAGCCATAAATATTTCACAGAATTAAGCACATTAAGAACTTACTCCACATTTGCAAAGTGAATGCAAGCATTGTCAATCTGTTTGCGCAGCAGAGCAACATCCACGGCAAGATCGCTTTCCAGCTTGGAGAGTTCGTGGCGTATCTCTTCGATTTTGCGCGATTCCGCTGCAGTTTTTTGCGTATGCTGCTCGATGGCCTGGTAGAGCAGTTGTTTCTTTTGCTTGTTCTGCTCCTGGATCAGTTTGCGATGCTGCTCGAAGTCCTTGAGCGAAATGCCCTTGAAGGGCGAGTCCGTGCTGAGCCTGTCGTCCGTTGAATCTTTGGTGCTGGGCAGTATGCTGGCATCATCGTCCGTGCTGCTTACCTTCAGAATTGAGCTGTCATCCGTCTGCTCGCTGTCGCCAGCTGCCGCATACGTGGCAGATGCCGCGGCGGGCGTTGATTTCCCGTTTGTCGACAACGTTTTCACAGAGCCACAGTAAAGCGCCTCGACCAGTGAGTCAGACAGGCCGCGCTCCAAGTTGAGAGATTCTTCTTCGTTTTTGTCGCCATCGCTTGGCGTGGGAGTGGGCGCTGCTTTTGGTTCCGCTTCTGTGGGCGTGGTTGTTCTCGATTTGGCCTTGACTGCGGCAACTTGTTGAGGCTTCTGCTGCGCTAGCTGCTGGTGCTTTCGCAATTGATCCGCCTGCCGGAAGATCTTATCCGGCATCCGCTTGATACCGGGCTGGTTTATGAGCGCTTTCTTTGCTATAAATATGCATGCATGTATGTATAATAACATTTGTTTTGTTTAGCACACACACGTACACACACACACACACACACACACACACACAAGCTTGGCAATATCTTTAATAAGATTCGAAATTTACCTGCTTCGATGTTAAGTCTATTGCCCTGTTTCGCTCCTGTTATTTTTAGTATCTCGTCGTGGCTAAAGCCATTAAATTTCTCAGCCATATTGTAAATATAATAAATAATTATCCATTAGCGCCTCGCATCTACACATCAGCAAACCAAACACGGCAAACAGCGTTGCCAGACCGTTTTCGCGGACGATCGCTGTTTATCGATAGACGGCGATCGACTGCGCTCGATATGCCCGCTCAACCAAACGAAAAACAATCGAATTTAAAACAAGAAAACAAACTTTATTGCAAGGGTTTAATGCCCAATTCGCAGCGTAACTCATGAATATTTTGCTCCCAACGCTGCTCCCAATAGATGGGCATCAGTGGCCTCATACCCTTGCCATTTTCAATGGCCCACGGCAAATAGCGTTTCAAGTACTCTCGCCGCTGCCTGAAAACAGATAAGAATTCAATTGTATTGTACTTTTCAATTAACCCTAGAATGTCAGGTGAAACGGTAATAAGTTACTCTACCTGGGTCGCAATCGTACAGCTCCAAACACGGCGGCGCCGTAGCACATTGGCAGACCGGTATTCAAGGCCTCCACCCATTTGACCGCCACTTCGCACAGCATGTTTGTCGGCATGTCGAGTGCTGCGTGCACCAAATCATGGCATTCACGATATCGCGTCATTATATAGGCCAGCTTTGGATCTTCGAGAAAACGAACCTCCATGCGCGAATCAGGCGTCACTTTCTGTGTGGTAAAAAAAAAATTCTTAAAATTGAAATCTCCAAGAAACCTTGCATGAAATCATGAAAATCGCATAGAGAGGCGAGAGTGTAAAATCGAGAGAGTGTAAAAGAGAGAAGAATGTTTAACTTTATTACTTAAACAGTTAAATTGAGCGTTGCGAATTATTCGCACTCAAAGCTAACCACATATAAATATTAATTAGTGTCTAGCTTGTTTTTAAAGGCACACAGGCAGACAGACTTATATTGGGTCGAAGAGACCTTCTTCCGTCTCATTAACATAAATTTTGTGTAATCGCTAACAAGTGTCAACTTACGTTATCTTTGAGAAACTTGGCGTAGGTGGCACCAAATGTGTTCGGCGGCAGCGCCTCCAAGCGTTTAAAGTCAATGGTTTTGGTGTTGATGCGTGGCTTATCCTTCAGGATGCGTCGCCCCTCCTCGGTTGCCTGCATGCTGTCCAGAATATTCCAGAGCGCAGACTCGCCCGTTGTCTCGCCCAGGCAGGCAATCATGTCGTGCCTAAAAAATGTCTATACCAAGTGCTTCTGCTGCAGCGTAAATATTTCTGCTCACCTGTGCGGATCCAGCAATGAGGCAATGGACGAGCCGGCGCCCAGGAGCAGCTTCTGAAATGGTGTAATCTCTATGCGCTGCTTCAGGTAGTCACGCTCAAAGGCGTCCAGCTCCTCCGGCGGCGTTGATGGTGCCTCCACAGAGGCCACATAGCTGCGTCTGCTGGCCAGGCCGAGGGTCAAGCCTCGCCGCCAGCTTTGCCAGCTGCGCTGCATCATTTCTGTTGGTTAAACATGGTTAAATGACGTTAAACGTTAACAATAGAAGCCGCCAGCAAGTGTACACATCGTTGACCTCATCAGCTGCGGCGCTGACTAATTATGTATGTGTGACTTGGCTCCTAAGCGCGACCCTGAAGACTCAGTCGGTAGTTTAAGCCACGCTTGTACGTGGCTCCAATAATAGCCCCTCCGCCCAGCGCCCCTCGGGCCAGAGATTCAAGTAAACAATTTGTCTATAGCGAGTCGAGAGATTCGTAAGTAAATATTGCCGCCCCACAACGGTTAAGGCTAAAGACTGAAGCAAATCTGGCAACCGGTTTTCCATACTTTTATATTTCTTAACTTTTTTTGTTTATAAGCACAATTGAACCTTCAAAATGCGCTGAACCCGGGCGGCCGGCTGCCGTTTCTGTTCCTATTAACTTTTATTTCATATTATTCTTGATGAGCAATTGAGACAATGAACACGTGAACATTTTCTAAGATTGCCCAATACAGAAAATACATAATTATAAAGAAATTTAAACAAACATTCACAGTTTAGTTATATTTGGACAAGATAAGAACTGCTGCATGGGAAAGATAAGCGCGTAATAGCTGAAGCTGAAAACTATTTGGAGTGTATACAAATGGGTTTATTTTTTATTTATTTTTATCAGCCCCAGTCTAAATTGTGGGGAACTTGAGTTTCCGTTTCATCTGTTCAAACTACAGACCGCATTGGACTAGATTGTTTTTTAAGCAGAAGCAATAAAAGAATTCACAAACAAAATATACTTTGTATATGTGACTGTTTGAATGATTGATTGATTGACTGCCCGATAATCAGAGCTAACTTTATGACAATAATTACTTTTTGTGATATTGGGAAATTCCAACTATAGATGGAAAAAATCCCAGTTTAAATGTGCGAATACACGATCCGAAAAAAAGGTTTACAAATTCTCGATTATTTGTTACAATTTCGATTGAAATACTATCATTAACATTTGGCTGGGTGTTTATTTAAATTGACAATTGTTTAAAAATTCTAGTTGTCAATCCAATTTAGATCTAAATGAAAGAAAGTCGGATAACAGCAAAGAAGCTTATGACAAATTGAAGACATGTTTTTGAAAGCGAAAAGAATAACTGGTAGCAAACATGAAAGTTGTCATATTTGGCTTATATCTGTTCCAATTAGACACAAAACAGTTAACATACACAATTTTAATGAGCATATGCACTTACATGCGTCTCAGATCTTATCTCGGGGTCTGTTTCTTATCTTATCTTCAATTTACACACGCAAAATTGAACACTTTGGCTACGTTTGTGGATGTATTATTATACGTATATTTATATATTTAATTAACTATTATGTGGAGGTTTTCGTCTGTGTTTTCTTTAAACTTATGACACTTTGATGCTGACACACACACAATAATATAATTGTGTGCGAGTGTGCGTGTGTGTGTGTGTGTGTGTGTGGCTGAGCAATTGCGTATATAAATTTACAAAGACATTTAAATTACATAAGTGCTTAAATATAAGTATTTCTTTTTAAATACATAACTACATATGTACAGTTCAGAGTTGACAGTTAACAATGTGCTTCATTTTGTGTTGGTCTCAAGTCGAATTCGCGATACTCTTTCTCTATGGGTACATAAAACATTTATGGCTTTGGCAGCAGTGCAAGCGACGCGGGCTCCTTCCCTTTCCAACTCTCCAGAGACTAGACGTTCTCTCCCCGAGAGCTAGGCAAATTTGCCTGCTTGTCGGGCGCCTGTTTCCGCCGGAAGGTGACGTACGTGTAGAGCAGGCTGGCCAGCACGCTGATGTTGATGCCAATGCAGTTCAGCCAGGAGAAGACATAGTCTCCGCCAATGAACATGCCCAAATAGGTGACGCATATGTTCTTGAGACACCCGACAATTGTGGTGGTCAACGCCGAATTGAACTGGGTGCAGAGTATTGTGCTGTAGGATAAGATGAAGCCCATTACGCAGCTAAGCAGAAACTGTACCACAAATGCTGGATCATTCCAGCTGCCAAAGTCCATGGCCTTTTGGAGATCGCCCGTCACATAGTTGAGCAGCAGGGCGGGCACAAACATGAACAGCGAATTGTAGAACATCAGGCCGTATTTGCCAATCTCGGAGGTGTCCAGTTTCTTCTTCACGAACACGCCATTCGAGGCGGTTAGCGCGTTGGTGATCATCACGTACGTATAGCCCTGCATATTGAAGGACAGATCATCGGAGGCGGCTATCAAGGCGCCGCCAATCATGGCATAGACGCTGATCTGCACCGCTGTCGTGGGCCGCACGCCCAAGATTTTAAGCTCCAGCAACATGGTCATCAGTATTGAGAAGCGTCGCAGCGCAGCGAACATGGGCAGGCTGAGCGCCTTGGTGCCGCCCAGGCCAAAGATCATGTTGAAGCCAAAGATCAGCGGCAGCGGAAAGATCTTGGCGAACGTATTGCGCTGCAGTGACGGATACGTGACCAGTTTGAGTCGTTTGCCGGCGCCCAGCACCACAATGCTGGCCGTCAGCTGGCCCAGGCTGAGGAATAGGAACGATGGGAAGTGGTATGAGGTCAGTACCGTCTTGTTTACCACGGTTATCATAAAGGAGGAGATGCCATAGAAAACGGCGCTGCCAACTTTCTTCACAAAGAGTGCAGCATCTGCCTCCTCTTTTTCCCTCTCCCGCTCTCTGTGACTGGTACGCAGCTCCTTGGAGCCGACACTGGAGGCATTCAACAGGGCGCCATTGGACTTGCCGTTGTTGTCGTTGTCGCTGTCGTCGCTGTTGTTGCTGGCATCGAGCAGCGGCGTTAGATCTAGCGTTGTGCTGTTGCTACCACGCGGAATGCTCATTCTAATTGCTTTGTGCTGTGATTTTTTTTTCCCCGTTCGTCAAACGTCAAAATATGCATGTAATGGGCGGGGTAGGGGGAGGCAGCTTTGTACGTTTGCACTGACTGTGTTTTATAAGTGCTTTTTATCGGTATTCATGCTTAGCATCGTATTACATATTGGAGTTTTTTTTTATTGGTTAAACACTTTAGTAAAGCACACACATTGTTGTAGTTTTGTATCGGTATTATTGTTTTTGCGGTGTCCGCTTAATAAAACGAAAAACTATTTTTACCGACGCGCTCTCACGTCGTGCTCTCTCGCCTAGCAAATGAACATATGGCCAGCGATGTGACCAAACTTAGCAAAGTTAATAAATACCAATAAACATACAAATGGCGAAAACCCAGTTAAATACTACATGTGGCCATAAATAAATAATGTAATAAATGTTTTCAAATGGCAAATATCTTACGAAATGGCCAAATAGCACTGTTCTCGCAGTCAAAATGTTACTACCAAAGCACGCGTTTAAGGCAATTCGAGTAACATTGTCATTGGCAATATGTTACGAACGGCATGCCGGTTACGTTTTATTATTACAACTCGACACTTTACAACAAAGCCTTTTGCTACTTACTTGCGGTCACTTGATTATAATTTACACACGACTTGATTTGTACACAACACAATCCAAAACACAATTTGCTAAAGTTGTAATCTCAGCTGTAGCCACAGCAGTGTAGCAACAGCGTCAATTTAGCCCACGAGAGTGGCAACTCTGGCCAAGCAGCTGTTTTTGGTTTTTTCGGAGTTTTTTACAAAAGTCAACAAAAAGTTGATTTGCTCTAATTTTATATTGAATTGCAATTAATCGACATGAGTAGCTCGAAAAAACGTATTAAAAGCGATCAAATACCCAAGCCAATAACCATAAAGAAGGAGAAATCTGAGGAAGATCGCACACTTCAACCCATTTCCCATTACATCGATGACCGCCTCGAGCTGGTCAAACAAATCTTTGGCACACTGAAGCCAAAGACGATTATGAATCTGGCGCCAGAGTTTCTTAAGGTAGAATGACAAAAAAACAAAATTGAGAGCAATTATGAAGCGCAATCCCTTGCAGGAAACCAGCTTGGATGAAATCGAGGAACTCTGCCTAAACGAGCTGCTTTGCATATCTACCAAACGTCTAAAGTCGATTATTGCAGACACGCGCTGTCCCACCGACACGGAAAGCTCAGAGGACTCGGACGTGGAGCACAAGGATGGTAAGCAAAGCCTCCATTCTTACTTCACATGTACTCACAACGATGGCATTGCAGAACACATCTCGCTGGAGGAGATTTCATCGGATAGCGATATTGGTGGCAATGAGTCACGTCGAGGTAAGTCCATCCACTCATACTACACGCCACCACAATCCCGGTTAGGAATATCATTTAAAACTTCATTATATACATTTAATTTTGATGTATCATAAGAAATGTTATCTCTACAACTGCACGTCATGAATTAATCTGCACACGGACTCATGTGCCATATTTGAATTTCTCGCAATTGAACACCGGTGCCACGTAAAAGGCGCGTAAGATGCATACATCTTCGCCGACGCCTAATACAATATTTTCATCGTCCTCTTTGCCCACCTCCAAGGTGACAACAAAATCGCCCACCTCCAGGCAGCCCTTGCGACGCATATAATCCACCCCAAACTCAATGGGGCTATAGTTGCACTCATTGAGATCGGGCGTATATAAAACGGGATGCGTATTGCGTCTCAAATGCAGCGCACGGGCCAAATCAAATTTGCATTTAATTGTCTGTTCATCGTCATCACTGTTGAGCGGCATCATCATATAGACCGGGCAATAGATTTCCGAGCGCGCCAGCGCAACACTCGCATTCTCACACTTGGTGAACACAAATATGGCCTGGCACTCGATCGTGGCAATTGTTCGAATGATAAAGTTAACAATCGTCTGGTAGGAGGTCAGTATACTCTTGACCTGTTGCTGCGTCTGGACCACACCCACGCGATAGTCACGAATGGGCATAAGCTTTTTCACAATCAGGGGATACTTGTTGCACCACGGACTCTTCTGCATGTGTATGGTGTCGATTTTCCAGAGGAACTCGTGCAGCTCGAAACGCTTGAAGTCGTTGCAACGCTCCAGCGGTACAGTGCCAATGACGGGCTTTTTCTGGCAATGCGCAATGGGCAGGGCATCCTCCATGATGTAATTGTACACGCAGCAGTTCACATTGAACATGTCCGGTATCCAGATATAGTCCAACAGCTTGATAATGCCAAGCAGATCCAGCATATTGTTGCGCACATACTCAAAGTCAATGCAGCCAATGAGCTTCATATCAAAGTCCGACATAATGGCCGTGCGGACAGCGCGCAGAAACGACTTGCAGCGAATCTTGGGCAGCACCACAAAGTTGGCCTTAAGCGCTGTGGCCGTTTGCAGGTCGGACAAGAATAGATCTGGGTACACTTCCGGTTGCAGGGCATGACACTGACGCGGCAGCTCAATGAAATCGTACGAGGTCAGCAGGCCCGCATCGATGATCAGAACAGCCAGCGCCTCGTTCAGCGTCTTGACCACACGGCAGCGCACCTCGCGTCCAATTAGCAGCACATCATTCAGCCGTATTGAGCTGAGGTAGGCACGTAGATTGATGACGTAGACAATCTCACGGAAGCCAGCGTAGCGATAGGCTGGATTTGTGGTTAGCGTGACCACAGAGCCGCGTGCCAGCATTGTGGTGCAGTTGTTCCGCAAGCGACCCACACGACAACAATCGCCATTTATCTCTACGGCCAGGCCCGTGGCTGTCCTCAGTTCGCGCTCATCCGCATGTGCGGCTATGGCGATGTTAAGCGTATCCAGTATGGTGGCCAGTTCCTCTGGCTTAAAGGCCACCATGTCCACGTGGAATGTGTAGGTGCCGTGCTCCAGCATGCGCCGCAGCTCATCGTGTGTCGTCTCCATGACCACTTTGGCCAGCAGACCAATGTGATAGTAGCGACGCCTCCTACGCTTACGGGCATGCTTCTCGTGCGCGTCGCAAGCAGCCTTAAATTCGCGTAGTCTTTGCTCCAAGTCCTTTTGCCCATTGAGACGTACCGTAAACTTTTCGGGATCTACTTCACCTTCGGGCTGTTGTTCTCCCTCTTCCGTGTTCGTCAAGCTCACATTGTCTACTTCATCCGTCGCAGCCATGGCGTGCAGTCAATTTGAATTATAACTGAATGCTTTTGCTTAATTTGAAAATTTTTACAGCTAAGAAATTGCGGAAATCAAGCGCTAAAAGAGCCGATAAAACCAATGAAAATAAGGAACGTAAGTTGAAAAAAATACAAAGCAAATACTGAATGGAAGCAACTGCCTACTATAACTGAAGCTATATACTTAAACCTTTCTATGTCTCTGTAAACTCCATAAACCAGCGGATGGACAAATCAGTGTTCTGGAGCTGCTCGAGCTGCAGGCGCGTGCGCGTGCTATTCGCTCCCAGCTGGCCATGGAACCCATTACAAAGATCGAAGTGAAGTCGGATGACGATGAGCAGATGTCAAAGAAGCTGCCAGATAAGGAGCGGCGCAGTCACAAGAGCTCTAGTGCGAGCAAGCGAAAGTCCAGCGAGTTAGCCAACAAGGAGCAGCCGCAGGTACAAACAAATGGCAGCAGTTCAAAACAAGCCGCAGCTCCACCGAAGAAGATCAAGCTAAAGCGCAACTATCGCACCTCCACCAAGTCGCCGGAGAAGGAGGATAATCCAAAGCCCGCGCCCGACCCCGTCCAGGAACAGCACAATTCGCGTTCGGCCTCGCCGGATGTGATACCCATACCAGCGGAGCCGGAAACACTGCTCATAAGTGACAGCACCGATGATGAAGGCAAACAGCCGGACAAGCAGCAAACGGAGGCAACAGGAACGGCAGCTGAGACGCAACCGGCGCCTGCAGCGAACCCACAACCAGCCCCAGCTGAGGAAAGCGAGCCCGAAGAGGGAGAGGTGAGGGAGGAAAGCGAAAATGAAACTGAAACTCAGCCCGCAGCCAAGGTCGAGCAGGACCAGGAGCCGGCAGTAGCATCGGAAGCTGACAAAGAAGTATCAGTGGCAACTGATGCGGCTTCAATCGAAAAAGCAGCCCCAGCTGAAGAAGTGCCGGCAGCCACTGTGGAGTCCAATGAGGCAGTGACTGAGTCAGAGCGGCCGCTGAGCACGTCCGTTGTAGATGATGAGGATCAGAACGACGATATCATTTCCATAGGCGGAGATCTGGAGCTGATTGAAGAGCTGGCCAAAGTGGAAGATGAACCAGCTGTTAAGGTCAAGAGCGAGGCACCCGAAAAGCTAGTCGAGCCGGATGAGGAGGACAACGACGTCATATCGCTAAACACCAGCGACGATGATCACGAGAAACTACAGGAAGCCAATTCGGAGGTAATAGCCAGAAGCCAATAAATATATATCGCATCTTAAACTAAAAGCATTTAAAATTCGTGAACAGTCCTGGCGCACACGCTATCTGAAGAGCTCCAAGGTTAGCCAGGTGCTGGCTGCCTCGAGGCTGGGCAAACGCGTGCGTGATAAAATCAAGAAATCGAATCGCGACCAAAAGCGCAACGACACCAAGGAAGCCGGCGATGAGAAATCCTCACAGCAGCAGCAGCAGCAGCAGCAGCAGCAGCAGCAACTACAACAACAGTTCACGTCCAAGCATGAGGATGGTTCCATGGAGCAATACCAGGAGCTCTTACAGCACCGACAGCGCAAAAGTTCCAACGGCAGCAAGGGCGACAAATAAACGACTCGCAGCGATTTGTTATTGAAAAGTCGCTTAGTCGAATGTTGCCGGCAGGCAAAATTATATAGCATATAAAAAATAAACTCACATAAAATAGGTACCAAGCGAACGCACAGAAAATTTGAATATTTCGTGTTAAGCGCATATTTGATTTTCCTCATGTATACCCTGTAAACAAAAATTGTCAAAGTGGACATGATAGCTGTGCGCTCGTCGTACAAGAAATGCTTAATCTAATGTCCGCTATAGGGTATGCTATATGCTATCAAGAACAGATATGCATTTAAAAAACTTAGAGTATTCGCAGCGTCTCTTTGCAAACTAAAACTCTTAATAAATAACGACAGAAGTTATTTAAGAAGAATTAGTTATTAAAGCATTTGTAAAATAAATGTATAGCTTATAACAAGTTTGTATTTGTATTAAGCTAACTCTAAACCAGAGTATCTCGCGGTCGTGCACTCTCCACTCTGTTTAGTTATTTATTTTTTTATGTGCTCGCGTTTTTAGATTTGTTTATAGTTTAAAAGAAATGCGAAAACTATGCCTTGTCATTTCCGGCGTTCATTTGGGCCCCCCAAAAAAAAAAAAAAAATAGAAAACTTTTGCAGGAGGCGCCTTTAACGAGCCGCACGCTAAGCTCAGGCTATGCATACGCATTTGTATTTGTATTTTTATTTATATTTGTGGCAAGGCTTGGAGGATTGGTTCAAAAATCATTACCCAATTTGTGGGCTGGGTTTTTTTTTGCATTTGAAGTTAACCCAGTTTGGCCTTTGTCAAAGGACTTGACTTGGCATCAAGTTGTGCGGCTTACATGAACCACCCTCGCTTGCTGGGAGGGGGTGGGAGGCACAATATCATAATGTGTGTGTGTGTGTAGGTATGGCGAGCGTGTTGCACCATAAACGATGATTGTTTTATCAGAGACTGCGATATGTTGATAAAGTATATTAAAAAACTGTGGAGTGGCCAAGCCAAATAACTCTCTCTGAGAGTCGTTGCGAAAGCGCATGTCCTCAGCGCTGAGGGTGTCGCACTCGCCTACATTTCCTATATGTGTGTGTGTGTGAGTGTGTGCTGTGTGTGTGTGTGTGCCTGCGAATCCATCAAGTGGGCGCGCTATATAACTATGTACATAGAGACATGTGAGTAGTTAGTGCCAGTTGCAGCTCAATATTGCATGAATCTATGCAAAAGCTGACAGCAGGCACTGAAGTAGGCTAAAAAAATACCTTATAAATATTTTAAAATTATAGGGTATGCTTGGCTTGCACATGTTTTTGGCCAGCACACGCCTACTGTAGCGCAACGCCCCCGCAACGAAAGTAAACAAAATAGCAACAGACCGCCGCTTACCCATTCGAGTGGTGGTTGGGGGTTGGGGATGTTGGTGGTGTTAGTGGTGGTGCTGCTGCTGGTGGTGGTGGTTTTTTTTATTTTGTGTTCTCCATTAAACTCTCTCGTGCACTGGCTGCGCTCTCTCTCTCTCTCTCTCTCTCTCTCTCTCTCTCTCTCTCTGTGTGACTGTGTGGGAGTTTGTGCATCCTTTTGGGCAATATGCGGCGACAGGCTGTCAAACGGAAAAGCTGAAAAAACCCAAAATTCAGTCTACAGAAAACGCGTACGTGGTGCAGAAGTAGCCGCGCGTGGCCACCACAACGGCGTGCTAGACTTGTCGGTATGATAAATAAGTGAAACGCCCTGTACAAGTTCTGTAAGTTTCAACAACAACAACAGCAACAACAACAACAACAACAACAACAGGAAGCAACAGCCAAGCCAAATACGAATATGAAATATCAAATGAATGGCCCAACTCAGTGACCAATAAATGTGTTTAAATGAAAATTAAATAAAAACGTGTCGCAGGATTTGAATTAGCCAAATGACACTTTCAAAGTGCTGGGCCAAGCAAGTGCATAACTTAAGAATATCAAGTGTTTTCTTATGTAAACAAAAACCAACAAATAAATAATCATATAATCATATAAATAAACAGCAAAAACAACGTAAAATGTTGCTAATTTTGATACACGCCAAATTATTTTTGTTTAACATAATGCCGTTTACAATCCCGATCAGATCAGATACAAAACTCGTTACGTTGCGCGTTTATTTTCATATAAGTTTACACGTAGGATTAAGGTGCGCTCTCTGACTAGAGACACTGTGAGTCCCAGCCAAAGCCTACAAAAAAAAAATGCCTATCACTATAAATATTACGAGAACAACAGTTAGAATATATATATAAAATAGTAGTCCAAAATATGCGCTATACAAATTTGCTTGCTACAAATTAAATTGACTTTTACAACATTTGACAAACCAAACGAAAATTGGCAAAAATCAAAAAACAAAATTTAACCAAAATTGGCTTTTTTAATTGGCAACAAAAAGAAACGTATTGCTTGATGCTTTTATATGCTACGATTCCTTAGATATAATACAAGTGCCGTTAATTTCTAGTCGAAAATTAACTATAATATTTAAATTGAAATTGGCTTAAAATGCTTTTGAGGAAATTAACGCACAATATTATCAGAAGTAGATATATACATATATAACCATATATAGCCCTTCAAATATAACCAAAACATATTGCATGCATTTAGGCGAGCAGCTGAAGATCAAATCCCTGAAATATGCTCCCTTAGACTGGAATAGAATAGAAGATAGAATCCCTGCACCCTGTACTTATGTTGTTTGTGGAGGGAAAATTGTTTCAATTGCTCTTGAATTAGCGTCTATTTGCCATTTCACTTTGAACATTTAGTTGGAATTTACAATAGAATATAAATATATATATTCACAGACAGCAACGATTGGGTTCTTTAGTCTTTGGTTGTGAATGAATTCTGGGCAAGTTTTATCTTTTGCAAAATATACCAATAATCGCTCACTTTACACAGCATCGTACTCTGCCTCAAACAAATGCAAGAACCTTTTTATTCATTAATGAGAAAGTCGTTTTAAAAGGTTTCTTGATCATAAACTCGAAAATGATAATTATTTTCTTTTGCTTTTGTAGCTATCTACTTTTAGGCGCTCTAATGCACATCGTGTCCTGACGTCGCCGTGACGCACAGACACACACACACATGTGTGTGAATTTATGAAATTTAATTGGCCTAATAAATTTGGTGCGCTTGCTTTTTTTAATACCCTATAGCCATTAAAGCGACTCATAAAGTTGTTTTAAGGCGAAGCAAGGCGCAGACATAACTTTGAGCTGTTGTATGTATTTAGCCGGGTCCATGGCTATGGAAAGAAGTTTTATAGGCAATTTTTAAATTGATTAACACTTCAAGCAAAAGTAAACACCTCGTATGCACCTTGCTTCACTTTATACTTACCCTAGAAATTCGCCTATGATTTGTGCAGGGTATTCTCTAGTCTGTCACTCTTGTAAGGAGCTTCTGTTTTATTAAACAAAACACCCACGCTCACACACACATTCACACAACCAAAAACGCATACGGCTGATATATATGTCATAAACTTTTATTAATAATGAAAATTGTACTAAAAATGGTGGGGCAATTTATTAAAAAGTCTCATTAGCTGACAGTCACACACACACACACACACACACACACACACATGCACACATGCACGATGCGACGCGCGTTTTATCGCGCATTACGCATACGCCACGAGGGCCCTACGGGTGCTAATAACGTAAAAATAATAATATTATTATGAACGACACACACTAAAAAAAAACAGAAAAAAAGAGGCAGCCAGCGAAAAATCGCGATAAAGTAAAATTTCGATATGGACATTATTAAAGCAACTCCGCAACCCGCAACCCCCTAAAATGGGGGTGGCTGCCATAATAACTCCGCTGTGAGATTAAGTATTTTTAATGCGAGCGCCAATAAAAATATAAAAATTTCAACGATAAGCCCGATAAGATCGAAATCAATTTTATTATAATGCATATACATATGTTCGTATATATATAAATATATATATATATATATATGAATATATGAATATGCCTATATGCGACTGATAAACACTCGGGCAATCGTTTATAGCATGTGCTGTTGAAGCATTCATTTTGTTGATTTTCATTTTATTTTTGTGGCGCTCTCCTCTCAAAGTCAAAATCAATAAATTTTCCACAATTTTTTCCGCCACTTTCTGGTTGGCGTTAGTTAGTTGCCTTTGGCTCTGACGCTGGACACGGCGCCGTCGCTTGGCTCATTATTAATATTTTTACATTTTGTACGCCTTTTGATATTTCGCTTAGCATAGACGAAGGCGCCAGGCAGGCAACTCCATGCCCGCTCTCGCCCCCCTCCCCTCTCGACCACTAGACGGCTGCTTAAGTGTTTTTCTATTATGGCCTGCCCATTTCCCATTTCCCCAGTGCCTTTTACCCAATACCCACCAATATTATATTTGCTTTTAAATATTTTGATATACAGCACAGTTGAGGCTTATAACTCGGCTCAGGCACCCATACAGACGCCCGTGGGCAGGTAGCCCAGTGGGACCTGGCGGCCGAGAGAGTAAGAATAAAGTATCTTATAAAGAAATATATGAAACAAATATCATGGCACACAATATAAGAGCTTAATTAATATGACATGCTGCTTTCTTATTGCTTCATATGACAGCAGCGCTGCTCAGGGAACTACTTTTAGCATGCCTTTCAATATGGTTCCCCTTTTTGCTTTATAAGCGAATGGTAGGCAGTAAGTGGTGCCTTTTTCATGCATTTGTGTCCAACTGGGTGCTCAAGCAAACATACTTCAACCAGCAGCAGCATAGCTGGCAGGCATTTTCTCATAAAAATTTCGTACTCGAATAAGACGAAGTAGCTGCACACACACACACACATGCAAAGGCACACACACACACAGATACACTGACAGAGAAGCAAAAAGTAACCCGCAGGCATTTCGGATAGCTTAGTGGGCATGGGAGGGCGAGCGGGGGTGGGGCAAGACGGTCGCAAAACTTTGAGGCAGCAGCATGGCCAGAAAAATGAATGTAAAGGATGTGCCATGGCGACCGGGGGACGAAGCCGTGTGTAACTGGAAAATAATATTTTCTTATTTTTTTTTTTTTTTTTCGTTTGCCTCTTTCCCAACTACTTTTGTGCCTC